ACGAATCTGAACCTGAAACCTCATTCATCGCTGGTCTAGCGGTTTAGCACACTGCCTTACTTCCGATGGTCGCGGTTTCGATTCCTCGCACGGTGCAAACATTTGTATTCATGAGTATGTTTGTTTGTATCGGTCTGGATGTTTTCTATATATATTATGTATGTATTTAAAAAAATCTTATCATGATTCGTTATAATATTGATGGCAATTATATATATATATAATATACTTGTAATAAAATAATAATATCAACGAATTTTTCTTAAGTAACTGATGGTAAATGTATGGACTCTAAGTCTACATATAAGTATTCCGCACTATTTCTACTATATATATATTATAAATAAAAATAGAAATAATCTTTATTCAAATAAATTAATATAAGTACTTTAGAATAGCCATATTTTTTTTATTCTACCACACTTTTGAAAAGCAGACTCATCACAAGAAAAAGGAGCAAGAAATTTGTGTGTTGGGCTTTTAAATAAATGTTGTTTTAAGTAGATTTACATTATCAATCAGATAACATTGTCAGCGCTATGAATTTTAAGTTAGATACTTTCTACAAAAACATTATTATCATTTATTATAAATTAATTTCACATTGTTAAAAGGTTTCAAGCAAATTAAGGAAAAGTTAGAGTCGTATTGTATCAATAACTAAAGAGATTAATGGTAGATCGTGGAAAATAGCAAAATCTCCACGGACAAGAGCGTGAATTATGAATTAATTAACGAAAGGTATTTTTCATATTTGTTAATCATAAATATATTTATGCAATAATTGGCACATTTTTTTATATTATATTTGTATTCTTGTAATACATTTAGCGTATATTTACTATATGAGAGGCGGTGCGCATAAAGCTGTCCAGCTTTTTACCATAACTAACTCATTTCACTTGAAAATATCTTCGATGTTCTTTTAGAATAAAATAAAAAAATAATATAAGCGTTAGACCTAGAGTTTCTTGTCTGTTCATGGCTTCAACTAGATTCATAACGATTCATAACGAATCGATTTATATTAAGTGTTTACGATTGATCAATTTATATTAAAGTACCTACTTGATTTGATCTGAAATAATAGCATTGTATGATTTTAAAAGTATAATAACAGGATACCTACTGACTATACTTGTAATATTTAATAAATTTTTCTACTTCTTCCTAGTTGAAATTATAAAATACTTATTGAAATTAGGGTGTACGCAAAGGTGGTTGCGTTGGTGTTTTTTAGATGGGCAGATGACGAGCGTTAACATGCTTCAAACGACATGCGATCGCAGCTGGAATACTAAATATATTAAATTTAAATATTTGGGCTTCTACGATGCTGAAAAAGTATGTTGCCTACATATATAACATACAACATTTGTAATCTTCCTAATTATTATTATATTACATTTAAATATAAATGTGTGGGACTCGCGCTGTAAATATGTGTTTGAAAAATTTTGTGATTTTTTATATTATATTGACGGCTACGGTGATTTAGCGATTTAGCAAACCGCCTTACTTCCGATAGTCGCGGGTTCGATACATCGCACAGCACAAATATTTGTATTCATGGGTATGATTGTTTGTATCGGTTTGCGTGTTTTCTATGTATAATATGTATTAATTTATGAAACATAAATATATCTATGTATTTGTATCAGTTATCTAATATCCATAACACAAGCTTCAGCTAGCTTAACTTGGGTCTAGATGGCGCTGTGTGAATTGTCCTGAGATTATAGTTATTATATATAATATTAACTACCTGCCCGTGCTTTACAAAGGTACATGTATTATATATAAACCTTCCTATTGAATCAATTTATCTATTGCTGAAAACTGCATTAAATTCATCGCGTAGTTTAAAAGATCTAAGCGAACAGACAACGGAAACAATTTGACACTATGTAAAGATATGCAGTGTATAATCAAGCACGCAATTATGTATTTCGTTTAATAGAATCAAAAAGTATATTCATATTTTGACTTCATTGTATAGTTAACGTTAGTCAATGCGATGAATTCATATTCATGTATATTTGGTTATACTCGTATACAAACCAAATATACAGTGATCATTCACTGTATATTTGGTTTGTATACGAGTATATATCGACTGTGTAGTCATGATACTATAATATTACATACTAAAAGTTAAAACGTTATATGTACTATATGTTCATTTTATATGCGCACTCTTTACAGTTGTTTATGATATCTATACATACGTAAGGGAAAGTAAATGTGAGTGACAGGGATTTATGACCCCGATGTTTTTTTAATGGAATGGTGCACTCGCCAGCGCTAACAGTATATGCCGGCCAAGCATAAGTCATCACCCGTTGAAAACCTATAAACTTATAAAGATATATATATATATATATAATATATATAGATACACCTCTAAATGGGGATCGAAATTACGGCGTCCTAAGCTGAGGTTCGAAACCATATCGGTGCCCTCAGACTAAAGTCATATCCGTCATGCAGGAATTGGCCTCCAGCCCTTTCATAAGTCTTTCTGCGAGTTTGGAGTGTCATCTGCACTCGCTCCCATATCGTTCGGTGAAGTTGTAAACGCCAGCTGCGACAAACAGCATTAGAACAGATCGGAAAATTATATACAAACAGTTTGTGGTGAGTATATAGATAATAGCAATAATTTATCTGTTACCAAATAGATGTATTAAGATATGTGTATGTAGAAGCTTTGAAATGAAAGTCTACAGTGTTTCGGTAGATTAAAATTAAAAATATTTGATAGAAAATTCTTTATCTTTTACATAAAGTATGTGGGAGTTTCATTCATCATTCAAAATTAATGAAATAAATTGAGAAATTTTAATCATTTATTCTTTCATCTTTTTTAGACTTTACTTAATAATAAAAACCGGTAAAGTGTAGGTCGGACTATAACAAGCTTTTGAATAAAAGTTCAGTAATGTTTTATTATAAATAACTTGATCTGAGTTTGAGACAGGTTTTTTAGAATTCAAACTTGTACTTATGAGAAAATTGTGATGTATAGACTGTTAATGTTTAGTTATATTGAGTGATTACGATCTTCTTAGCGTTGATCAAATACGAGCATGGTATAAAATCTGTCAGTTTTAAGAAACTTAGTTAAAACTTTCTTAAAAGGTTTTCAATGAGTCCATAAAACTCTACATCTGCTTTAGAATTTCTACCATCATTTTGAATCATCATGCAATGAAAGACGTTGTAAATTTTTTTACATCTTTTAACAATATGGATGGCCTCGGTGGTCTATCGATTGTTTGTATCAGTCTGGGTGTTTTCTATGTACGTTATGTATGTATTTACAAAGAAAAAAATTCTAATTATTTATAACAGTCGTTTAGTACCCATAACACAAGCTCTGCTTACCGTTGGACAGACGCTGTGTTAATTGTCCAAGGTTAAATATTAAGAAACAAACAAGCTGACTGTCCACCTGATGGTAAGTGGTACCGTCGCCAATATACTACATATTATAAACAATACTACGGACATCTTATTGTGGATATGACGCACGCGATTTCCTCATGCGTTATCACCCTAGAGGATTAAGATGTCATGTGCTTATCCTGTATTTTTACTGCTTTTTCTCACGCTACGACTGAAATACAGCTTATGAAGTAAGCTGTTTGGACGCTGAAATAGGTGAAACTGGTGTACTAAAATGGACGACTTTTATCGCTGTGAGACATAAACTCGTACTATAAGAGTTAGGTTTGAAATTCTGAAAAATAAATGGATATATAAAGATTTAGTTTTATAGTTTGAAATTGTCGAAATCGTGATTTAATTATCTATCATAAAACCTGTATTGAATTTTTATTAAAACGTGAACTAAGCAAATTTATAATTTGTGGTTTCGAATATATATTAATTATATTTTAACAATTATGGTACAATTCAAATTACTAGACAATATCTACCTTAATTGTCTAGTAATTTGTCCGTCCGCACCCACGGCACAGAAAAAGATGGCATTATACAAAATACATATATTTTGCTCTTAATTACGCGGGCCTACTCTATACTGATAATTGTTGATTTTTAATTTGCAAAAGTAAAGCAATGGTATGTGCACTATACAGCCTATTGTTTATTAATCATTTTTTATGTGATAGAAGTGCAAAAGTATCGACACCATAGGTGTAAACAAAGTCCTAGTTGTGTCTAATATCGATATTCTATTTGAGGTCCTGGATCTTTTGTTCATTGTTTGAAGTGCGAATAATAGAAAATTAGATATTTTTTCAGATTGTAATGTTATAAACGTATATTTTACTCAGTTGTTGTATAAAAATGTACGGCAAATTTCTATACTAGGCAATAAAAATATTATTTATTACCAAAATTTTCATGATGGTAATAAAAAATATATTTAGTACATTCGGGTCGATGACTTCCACTAGTTGAACGAAAAGAAGGATGAAATACTGAAATTCGTCTTCCTGACCGGAAGTGTATGTATTTACAGTGCAGTCTTTAGATAGTAGAACACTTTACACTTTAAGTGTAACGTAACAAGAGAAAAAAAATCTCTACTAAAACATCATTTCAAGTAGTCGCCAGTTTTCAGGTACCTACTTGAAATTTGTATATTAATAATATACGTACAAAATTTGCTGTACATTTATAAACATCATGTAAGAAACCTAATAAATCCTAAGGGTGTTTGCATATTACCCGATTCTCTTATAAACCTACTTAAAATTATTCGACAGTTTATAGAGCAAACTGAAAGTTACAAGATTTTTTTTATAAATTAGACTAATCTTCAAACGTTACAGAGCTTCTATACTAAATGTCCAAAAATATTTTTCTTATAAAAGTATACAATTTTATATATATATAATATGTTGTATGTTAATATATACATAATTATCTTCTACGATATAAAAGAATTGGGTACTATGTAATAGCCCTACATTTAGTTTTAAATATCCCTAGCTTATTATAGGAAGATGCGGGTAGTGGATGATACTGACCTTTGTCCAGGACTTTTGCTCTCACTGCTGACATTGTTGCTAGAATCATCATCTTCCTCTCTCGATGTAGCCGCTGATAGTATTCGTGATGAGCCGACGTTGGTCTCGCTGCCATCGTTGTCTTCGCCTTCCGATGTTCTACCTGTGCCTTCTTCTGCCTGCAATTAAAAAAAAATTATCCATGTGTTAATAGTATACTGGCCATCACAATATACTGGTTTTTGTATTTTCGAATATGTCAGTTTTACAAATTATTTTTTAAGAACAATAATTATAGATTTTGTTTTCTTTTTAGTTACGATCTTGTAAAACTATATATAATATATTTTGTTGTGTAAAACACAGACCGTGTTAATTTACAATATAAAACTGTTTTATTGCTTAAATGGTATTTTTTTATCACTATATATTCATTCAATGTGACAATATACTTCAGAAATATGTTTAATTGGATTGTGTATTCTTCCTTTAACCAAGGTTTTTAAATATCAAATAACATAACAAAAATCGATTATTTAAATAGTTTTTTTGAAAAAGGAAAATGTTTGATGTATCGAATTGTGGCTTTTGTTCTTTGGGTATTGTGTAGAATATTGTGTTAATTAACATAACATGCAGTCATGTGCAGGACTGTGATTTACATGCAGAAAGTATATTATTGGGTATTATAATTTTACGCTAAAAATTCGTGCAATATTTCTTTATTTATACTATAATTATGTGCGTTTGTTACTTAGGTATAGGCAGTGGAGCGGATAGAATGTAGGTTACGTGCAATTAGATTATAAAACTTGTTATATTGTCAAAAATATTATTAATTTATGTATTAGTTGCATCCTATATCACAAATCGACTATGCAACCTTAGGGTACCTTAAATAAATTTCATTCAGACGTGTCTAGATGTCCTATGAAATTATTCTAGACGAGAGTAGGGCTGGCTGGTTTAGGTATGGGTAGAATAATTTACTACATACAATTCGAGACATTTGTCACAAAAACATGTTTCCCTATAAGGCAGTATATTTTTCCTTAAAGAATGGATTAAAAAAAAGAATCTATCTTAGCGTATTAAAAATAACTACCATAAATCAATAGGTTTTTTTTTCATAACAAATAGTACAATACAGATTAAGTCTTTATTTCTGCACGTGTTTGTTCCTACAAAAAGTATAAAAAAATATTTTTATTGTTTGCTAAATTTACTTTCAAAATTGGAATATAAAATATAGAATGTAGATATATGATTTATGCAGTCATAATATAAGGTTTTATTCTTTTATATTGCATACTATGATGCAAAAACATTATAGTTTTTTTATTTGTATTAAACTCTGTTACATCCGTTTTTGTTTTATAATAAAGTGACAATTAACACCATTTAATATTCGAGGAATAAATAGTAGTCAATTATTAAATTATTTAGATTTTATTAGTAATCGAATATATTTAAAATACAACATTCTAAATATGAAAATATTTAGAATAGCACGTTATAAATTTGAAGATATTCATAAATAAAGTAATTAAACAATATTACAGTAATAAACTTTATTGGAAACACCTAATTTTGTCGACTTACCGAACTCACCTGGATTCTTATGAGTGGTATAGTTTCTTCTATGTTTTTGAACATAATATTTACAATGTATGATATTAAATGCACTTTCGGGTTTAGAAATAAATCATTCCTTTATACACTAAGTGTAACCTTTACAGGCATTTACATTGCATTAAATACTAACTAAACATAAATACTTATAATAAAATATTAAAAGCATTAAATATTAATTAAATAATAATGTTAATAAATAAATTATGAATAGCGGATACTTTGTTAATGACTAATCTAAATTGCTAGTATGAAATAGAGTGAAATGAAGCCCCGAGCATGACTTAGACGTACACTATAAGGCAACTTATAAATTATTAAAGCGATATTATAACAATAACAAAACAGGCACTTATTTATATGAAAAGCAATGGTACTACAGTTAGAATTATTAATTATTAAAAGATTTATTAAGTTACAACTCAACTTATTATATTTTATTGACTTAGGTGATATTTAAATTCCTCTTTTGCTACCAAAATTTGTAACATGTATTTGAAATCTAGTATTTAAAACTGCATTAAAGAATACATATATATTGCGAAATTCCATTTGATTCTTTAATAGGTTTTCAGTACAATAATGGAGGCGGAATTGAAACGAGTTTTCCTTCGTTTAACCAAATTTTTTTATATTTTTACACTTGCAGCTCACGCAGTACATATGAAATTAATCATTATTAGAAGTACAAGAATAATAATAAAAAATGATTTTTTTTCTTATTACGTATATCAAATTGCTTAATTGGTAGGTAGAGGGAACGTAATTCTGCAAATCCTTCTATTTTTACACACATCATTCTCGAACCATGATCTTGTAATAGATGAAACGAACACGATAATAAACAGAATTCAGTAAATATAAATCCTGCATTGGTCTTCCCCGTCACGTTTCGCAATTATAGCTAGTATTTCGGGTATTTTCTTTATGAAACTCGTGGAGAGTACGTCAATCCAATCCAATTTGATGCGCCGTTTGCGTTGCAACGCCGGCAAATCCACATGTAAACAGATCTCGTTTACATTTCACTATTAAGCGGCCTACACACGACGCTAAAATCAGGGGCTATATCGAATCAGTGGCAGGGTACAACCTGGATCGTTTTCTAGATCGTCGCGCGTCTGAAGGTCCATTTCTCATGAGTGTAGTTCCATTGAGTCTGCGTTTTTAAAAAGTTGCCTTCGTAGGTCTTTAGTGGCCAAGCAGTTTGCTTTGTAAGCTGTATTTCGATTGAGAGGTGGGATAAACCACCAAAATACGAGACATGATACGTTAGTCCTCCGAAATTATGCTTTATCACAGGCGTCACATGATAACGTCATGTCTGTAGTCCGGTTCCTGTACATAAGCAACGTCACAGATAGTAACCTCCATCATAGGATGAACCGTTAGTTTTTTGCCATTCAAATTATTCTCCAACAAAAAAAAGTATGTCTGCTGATCTTATTTTATCCCCGCCATTTGAGTTTCGATATTGCCCCTGATTTTAGTGTAGTGTGTAGTCCGTTAAGTTTTATGCCTTCGACCGTTTGCATTTGTGTTTTACATTGTAGGTATCGTTCTAATGCGATTTGTGTATACTGTTATGAAACGATAACACACTGTTTGTTCAATACATTGATGGATCTATAATGTTAGGGTTCACATCGATATTATCGAAAAATCTGATATTTAAAAATATTAAAAGAAGGTCCGTACGAACGTATAACCCCCACTCATTTCTGCTCAGTATAAAATGGAGGGTTTTTGTAAGCCACGGCATTTCAGCCAAGCACAGGATGTGCTGGTTGTATTTTAAATGCTAAAGTGAATTGTGTTAGAGACATAGTTAAATTAATGTTATATAGTTGTTATTTTATTATAATACATACTTTTACTAGTACATAGAGTTGATATATCTTACAATAATGTAATAGAAACTGGGGATATAAAACATTAAAATTAAATAGTTATTTCATTCACTGAATTTGACAGCCTCGGTAGTCTAGCGGTTTAGTACATCGCCTAACGTCCCATGGTCGCGGCTTTATGAGTCATCACTATGTTATGATTATGACTGATTGTATCACTCTGGGTGTTTTCAATGTATATTATGTATGTAATAACAAAAAAAGTATCTGTGCATCAGTTGTCTAGTACCCAAAACATAAGCGCTCTGGTTAGCTTAGGACAAGATGGCGCAGTGTGAATTGTGTATATTCCTGTTATTATTATTATTGTTTGAAACCCGGTAAAATATAGCAAAATTGGAATGCAAATAAACACATTTTTGTTTCGGCAGTCTTGTAATAAATCATAGCACTCAGTACCAACCAAATTACACCGATAATTTCATCACAAGTAAAAAATGTTTACAGCCCAAAAGAGTCAAAATGTATGACAGTTTAGCCGATTCGTACCCAACGAATCGGCTAAACTGTCATACATTTTGACTGGAATTTACAAGAATAAGCCCGCCATTGTACAACTTATTTCTTAACATTGTTGTATCTTGCTATTTCAAATGTACTCGTATTTATTGTACAATAAAGTGTTACAAACAAACAAACATTTTATTTTAGTGCATATAGAGTAAATAAAACGCTAGAAGCAATGTTTTAGTCTGTTTGAAAAGAGAATATAATGGCACGGCTTAGCAAATGGTTGAATAGTTAGGTCATAGGTACTTATACTCGAATGCTGACTCCTGAGTCAACGTTTTATATTGCATGACCCAGTTCCGTTACGGTGTTCAGTTCCTGCACCGTTAAGTATACGGAATTACCTTTCTTTCAATCGTTTTTTAATACTATTAGTGTGTATTTAAATGAAGAATTTTTTTTTTATATCTGACGGATTCAGTGGTCTAGCGGTTTAGCTAGGTATATCTAGGTATATCAATTTACAACAAACATTTGTTTTCGTGAGTACGATTGTTTGTATCGGCCTGGGTGTATTATGTATGTATTTAAAAAAAAGTATGTATGTAATTATTAGCAGTCGTCTAGTGCCCATAACACAAGCTCTACTTTCCGTGGAACTAAATAGTGCTGTGTGTGTAATTTTTCAGAGTTATTTATTTATATAATAGGTATTTACGACTAGGTCATCATACGAGTATTATATTTATAATACGTGTATATACATACTCTGCCTACCCCATTTAAGATAACAGTTCTGTCGTCGTTTGAAGACATTAATTTGCATATTCATTTTGAGACAATATTTCGTAATATATCAAATGTCACGCCCCACTACGTGGCACGTGTAGGTAGGTGCGAGTGTGTTCAAGAATTCTGGAATGTCATGATAATATATTGATGGAAGTCTAGGCAACTATTCATAAATAAACATCGTGTGTAGCGGTAGCTTACAGGTATTTAATATAATGATAGTAATATATGTACGAAACATAGGTATAGGTATTTATTCTCATGCGTTGATAGTGTTCAAAGAAAATCAAAATAACTTTAATAGTTTTGTTACAGAAATAGAGAATGTGTATGAACTGTGTATATTTTAGTCGTGCAGAATCACGAAATCAAACACGAAATTTGGATGACAATCT